AGACAAGGTCTTGCTGTGTAGTCCCGCTGGCCTTGAACTCACGGCAATCCTCCTGCCTCAGCCTTCTGAGTGCTGGGACTGCAGTGTACACTACTGTGCTCAGCAAATACCCACTTTGTTACCTCCACACACACCTAGTGCTGGGAATTGAGCTCAGGGCCTCGCACTGGATAGCTAAGTGCTGTACCACGGGCCACACCCCCAACCTGTAATAATCACTGTCAAATGAGCAGCATTTTCATATTTTCAGCAATTTCGTATTCCTTCTTTGTCTAAATCTTGATTCCTCATCTGAAAGCCAAAAACCAAAACAAAACCTCATTAAGTTCTTTGATGTGCATTAGCTGATAAAACTGAAATTGGGCATTAGAAAACAATGCCAGCAATTTTACTGTATCCTATATTCTTTATTGTGAAAATTCTGCAGGGTGATTTTCTCCTTCTTTTTTCTTCTGGATTTTTAAAGAAAGTAAGTCCATAGGGAAAAATGCCAAATTTTTTCTCAGTTGATTTGATATCCGTAGTGAGGTCTGTTTTATTTTTACAATTAGACTTGGGCCATCAGTTGAGCTCTGTTGTCACTCTTCAACTCCTCAACACGTCTCCCTTACCTTTTTTTCCTTTTTAAAAATTGTTAATTTTATTAAAATTATGTTTTCCTAGTCCATGTTTGCAGGACGCATTGATTATACTTACTGTGTGGAGTCGTACATGAACCTAACACAGCTCAATTCTTTTTTGTTTCTTTCCCCTCTCACCTCTCACTGCTCCCCCCAACTTTTTTCTTTTCTTCTTCCTTTCTTTTTTTGGTATTGGGAATCAAACTCAGGACCTTTCACTTGCAAAGCAGAACCACTGAGCTAAATCCCCGGTCTTCCGCCCAACTTTTAATTTCCTTCTCATTTGATAAAGGTCTTTTTCCATTTTTTCTTTTTAATCTTCTTTTTCAATCCTTTTTCCTTCCTTCCCTCTTTCCTCTTTCCTCATCTTGTTCCCCTCCTTGTTAGAAAAAGATCTCCCTACTTCCTACTATCTGTCCTTTATTTCACTCTTTCTTCGTATCTTGGGTTTCTCATGTAAGAGAAACCATGCAATACTTAAGCTCGTGTGTCTGATTAATTTCATTTAACATTATGATCTTGAGGGCATCCATTTGCTTGTAAATGACTCAAGTTTATCTTTCTTTTCTGACTTGACTTCTATATAGCGCCTTCCCTAGTAAAGATACTTGTAACTGTTCTGCTGCTATCCTGCTTAATCTTTTTTTAAATGCTTTTTTGTTTTGTTTTGAGACAAGACCTCACTAAGTGGTTCAGGCTGCTCTTGAACTCACTGTGTAACCCAGGCTGGCCTTGAACTCATGACCATCCTCCTTCCTCAGCCCCTGGATTGCTGGGATTACAGCTGTGTGCTACCACCCTGGCCATCCTGTGCTTTTTTATCCTTTAAAGTGTAATATGTGATAGTTGTGATAATTAAAAGAACAACATAAAAAGCACCATGCATACCACAGATACTTAAATAATACTCATTCTCCTCTTCCATGCATGGTGTGTGTCCCCCAAATTAGACTTCTTTTTGTGTAACTTTCCTCCTTTACTGTGGGTGCCTTTTTTTTCATCTTTGTACCTTTACATGTTATTTTCACATCCTTTTTCCCTTTTCAGATTTTTTAAACTTCTTAAAAATGTTTCTTTCTCCCCTTTTACTTTTCAGTTTTATGATCTTCACTCATTTCTTATCTTAGTTTTATCTCTTTCCAATCTGTGAATCAGCATTTAATAGAAAATGTCCGTGTTGGCCATTTGAAGAGTATTTTGGGCAGTGGGAGACACTTTGGCTTTAGAGCTCTTGCATGACATTCCAAGGAGAGCCTGAAATGCTTGGCTCTTTGGTCAGTAAACCTCAAGAATGTGAAATGAAAGTCAAGTCACAGTTCTATGTTTGGTTGTTGCCTTAGGATAATGAAAGCTTTTGTGGATTTAATGTTATTAAAAAAAAAAAAAAAAAACCTTGATTCAAGACTCGGGTTGGGAGACCATTATACCTTTGTCACCGTCCTTCTGTACCAGAGCTGATGAAATCTGACCGCTGTTTAATAAAAGGGTACCATGTGTTTTTCTTTTATAAGAAGCCCTTTACTGCAAACTTACCTAACATCTTGCTTTTGAAGAACTGAATTCCATATTTCCTGGAAGAAACCTCAGACATGGAATAGCTATTTTTTTAATCACAAATTTAATAAGCTGTGTTTACAAAGCCATCACTTTAAATTTCCTTTGGCTTGTTTTACCTGTTCCCTGCCCCTTAAAAAAGCATTTGTGTAGCATAACTACAGAAAAGCAATGTTCATATCTCTTAAAATTGGCATTGTTTTTGCTAAATTGATTCCTCTGGGCTCTCAGTTATATTTTTCATAGGCTTCAGAGGCGCTTCCTAAAAACTCTTTTATCACACCAGATACAAGGTAGATAATAAGGTTTTATAACCCCAAAGAAGCTTTTTGTTAGTAATTCATCCAGAGAGGGAAATGAGAGTAATTGGTAAAGGCGTGAAGGGGCATTGTAAGGGCACGATGGTTGGGTTACTCTGCAGTGCTGCGCCCTAGCCCTTGCCTTGTCTTCTCCACCCACGCCCAATCAGGACCAGCGCCTGACTTCCTTTTCTTTCCGTACTGACAGCAAGTGACTGCAGGGTGCGTTTGGGAACCTGAATATGTGTAAGTGTGCGGATAAATTAGATAACACTGGTGAGCAACATTTAAAAAATTGTCAGTGCTGAACAGGCACACAACTGGAATTGTGCCATATAAACTGTGAATATCAATGTCGTTTAGAGTCTGAGATAGCTTTCGGAGTCCTTTCCTGAAAGTTTCCCCCTCAAATATTTTAAGGTGGTTGTACTTGGTGTATGAATTTTTGCTTTTTTTTTTTGGTACCGGGGATCGAACTTGGGCCCTTGTGCTTGCAAGGCAGGCTGTGGAACCACTGAGCTAAATCCCCGGCCCTTGGTGCATGAATTTTAAAGTTCATAGTTAGATGGTACAACAGTAGATTAGAATTGACTTTTTGTTTTATGAAATGATTAAAGGCGTTAATATTTAAAATTTGTAAATAAGTTCAAATAGCACTAATCAATGAAGAAACGACTAGCCTAAGTTCAGGGTCGTCAGCATGGGATGTATAATCCACATCACTGATGTATGCATTTGTCGGAAATGCGCTAAGTATCCTGGGCTGTTTCCTTGATCGGGGAAAAGGCCAGTTGGCCGGTGGTCTTGATGCTGCAGCCTGGAGAGTATTTCTTGACACTTCTTCTGTGCCTGGCTTGCCTTGCACATGGTGTGCAGTCGTAATTATTGTTAACCGCTAGAGAGATTCACTGCATGACAGGCAATCAGTGTACATGGACTGATAAATATTTGCTGAGTTGAAGGAGGGAATGAATTAATGATCAATGCCTTTAATTTCCAGCACACAGAAAAGACCCCTTTACTCAGCCACTCAAGGAAGGCCCCTCGATATTAATGGGAATTTCATTAGTTTTCTTTGTGAGTAGATTGTGACAATATCCTTGACAACTCTTGACATTCAGGCTTAAATTGACACTCTTAAAAGTACGCTTTTCTGATGTATTTGGTGCTTAGTGATGTTTTTATAATATGCTCCATGTAAAGATCTTGGCAGTTTCTCCTTGGTGCCATATCTGGACATAAATGCAATTTGTAACAATATTGTAAAGTCACTCAGGAGATAACAGAAGAATACCCATTCAACCTAATATCATTATTGTTGGGGTGACACATTAAGGTTTTGAAATATTCTGATGATTAATTGTCTTTAAAGTATTGATGATCTCAAGTATCATTAGAATGGATTTGCCACTTATAAAATATTATTTATAATACCCAAGAATTATAGCTGCTTATTATGTTTATTATAAAACTGGCCTGAATAAATCAGCCCATTACAATTACTTTCTATAATCAGCCTGATTGAACAAAAGTGGCAAACTGTTACAGATTTAATAGCACTTGTGTCGTATGAGTTTTACTAGTGTGTTGTATAATTATTCAAAACATAAAGAAGAACATGCAATTAAAATACCTTCCTTTCTAGCTCATGCTTCTGGTTACAAATACTTAAATCCTGAGCGAAACACTCAGGCATAGATGTCTTTGGCTTTTGTGAGTTTTTAATCTAGCTTCTGTGTCGGTTTCTCTAGAAAGCAGAATTCTTCATAACAACAGCCATGTCTTTTAACTGTTGTAATTGGTAGTGAGGGCACCATACATTAAGGCAATATCATTTTGGCACTTTTTTCTAACACTGAAGCTTGAGGTTTATGAAATTCAGTAAGGGGTCTGGTTTCTCAGGCTTTTGGAAAAAAAGTATCTGCCTTATTTAGCCTCAACTTACAGTAAAAATATAAAGAATTCATAGGTTGTACAGAAGAGTCTTTAAAGAGTATAGACTTTTCATTAACTGCTGAACAAAAATGCATTATATTTACCATCTTTGTTGAGGTAATAATCAACTGTATGTCTTTAAATATCAAGTACCCTGTACATGAGAAATAACCTGTGAAAACACTGACACTGTCATTGGTTTGGTAACCCAATTATATTCCTTTAACCATCTTGTTTTTCTTTTGGAAAAAGCCTGAAAGAATTACACAGCCAAATAATAACATGATTTTTTGAAAGGTACTATAGGAAATGTTTGTTTTGTCTTTACATTCCTTTAACACACATCTGCAACAGAATAACAAAGATACTAAAAATATAGTTAACTGCATGCTAACATTTATTTTCCATAGATATTCTTAATTCCTGAGATTTGGATTAATCTTGAGGTGGGTTAGAATGCTGCTACTCAAATTTCACTCACCACCGAAAATGGCCCTTTGCTTCAGAAGCTTCTGGGCGAGCATGAGGCACCTGTTGGGCTTGGGAGGGTGTTTCGAAGAGGCTCTAAGGAGTGTGTGTGTTCCCTGCACAGCGCCTGTGCTCCCCGGGGCCTACCAGCAGAGCCACTCCCAAGGCTACGGGTACATGCACCAGACAAGCGTGTCTTCCGTGAGGTCTATGCAGCATTCCCCAAGCCTGGTAAGTGAGTAAGTGCCGCGCCACAGCGTCCCTTCCTCCCTGGTCTTGCAGTTTCACCTCCCCAATACGAACGCATGTAGAAAATAGGTGGATTGAATAGTGATATTTTGCCTATACAGCTAAGTGATACAGGACGATTGATAACTGATTGCTAAGCGACCATCCATGTGGCCGTCCGTACCACTCTTTCAGAGGAAGCAAAAAATTTAGAGGTACAGCATTCAGAAAGGAAGACATTAATAAGAATGACACAAAACAAGAACACATGCAAGGACCTGTCAGTACCATATCGTAATGGTCCCTTCATGATTGGTATTAGCCAGCTTTGATTTCATTTGGGCCAAAAAAGCTGCAAATATTTGATGGTCCTAGAATGAATAGGGTGATCTTGATATTCATGAAAATGCCCAAGGAAATTTATGTGATGTGGCCAAAATAGGATTTGGAATGTTCTCAGCACAAAGAAATTATATGTCCGAAGTGGTAAATATGCCAATTACCCTGATTTGATCGTTATGATAAGGTTATTTGTACCTCAATACTCAGGATATTTATATACTACTTTTCTGTTACTGTGATACAGAACTATAAAGTGAATAGATTAATATATTTTTATCATGTATGTAATATATGCATGTATGTAATGTATGCAGGGCCTTTGCACTGAGCTACCTCCCCAGCCCTTTTTTATTTTGAGATAGACTTTTGTTAAGTTTCCCGGGCTTGGTTCAAAATTGCAATCCTCCTGCCTCAGCCTCCTACATATTTTCTGTATTTTTGAGGGAAAAGCTCATCTCCTCTCCCCGGGGATCAGTGGCAGAGAGCCAATGGGACTTGGACCTTTCTGCCACCGTGGAAGGTTTTGTTTCCTGACAAATGTGGAACAGGGAGGAGTCTACATAGTCCAAGGTTTCTGGGATTCTCTGAAGCTGGAGGAACTGGCTTTACTCTTTCAAAGCCTACCACTTGACAGCGAGCTATTGTATTTATTATTTTCCATGATTATCTTGTATTTTCCTTGTCTCTGCTCTGACCCTTGAATATTGTGGTTTTTCCCTAGATGAGTGAACTTGAGATCAGCACAGGTAGTTAGATACCGAACTTTAGTTGGTGGATTTTCCGAGATAGCCGTGCTTGCAAACCTTCCTCAGAGCGTGTGCCTCGGTTGGTTGGGCCTGGAGTCTGGTTTTGGTATTCATTCCTGAACCCCTTCTTCCTTCTCAGAGGACCTACCGAGCCATGTACGATTACAGTGCCCAGGACGAGGATGAGGTCTCTTTCCGGGACGGAGACTACATCGTCAACGTGCAGCCCATCGACGACGGCTGGATGTACGGCACGGTGCAGCGGACCGGCAGGACGGGCATGCTCCCGGCCAACTACATCGAGTTCGTGAATTAGTTCTTTCCCCTGCCCTTTGAGCTTTATTCTAATGTATTCTAAACCTAATCTTTTTAAAACCTAGAAGATACTTTTAAGACAACTCGGCAGTTATTTTCCAGTCATGTATCCTTATTTTGACAATTAGACACAAGGTACCGGGAAGTAGGAATGACTTTGGGCTGAAAACAGCAGCATCCTCAGTAATTCCTGTAAACAAGATCCTGATGTCCGGAGACCTGGTGCTGCTAATTGTGTTTGTGGTTTCCTTTGATTGGCTCCTGAGCCCTTCCGGGAAATGTATTTTTGTAGACTTTAATAGAGATGCTGATTGTCCCTAATATGTAATGAGTGTATGAAACTTCTTAGCTGTCCCTTTGGAATAACCAGAAACCAATTCTTTTAACTCAACAACATAGCCAGTAACTTACAAACTGTTTAGCTTTTGAGTCATTAGGCAATTTCCAATTCACGTGAAAATTGCCTGCTACAATAAATGTAAGCAGTGGCAGAATGACAGCCTGGCTTGAATCACATTGAGCAGGTGGCCTTGGGAAGGAACAGAAATCTCCCTGTTTCCTAGGCCCCCTGGGGTCTGTTTATGTCTTGTCTGTCCCAAGGCATCTCCTCCTTTCCGCTTACATTCTCTGGACCCGAGATTATGCTTGGTCCCCCAGAATGTCTGCACCAAATAATGCTGCGGCCACTCCTCAGAGGGCAAAGTTCGATGTCATCCGTTTCCTTTCCCTCGCAGCCTCTACCCTGTTGCATGTCCTGTGGGTTTGGCTTCTGTTACTAAAGCAAACTGCGTGGCTGATCTGTACAAGCCCTGTCTGTCCTCTAGTTACCAGCTCATCAGAAAACCATCTTTAAAAGTTGCTTGAGATCTTCTTGCTGTATTGCACTCTAGATTTGAAGGACTGATACCTTAGGAAATACATGTGTACACTAGTAAATAAATGATATAAGTATTTCCTGAACAGCTTTCATTAGCTTAATGCCACTTTTGAATTGAAAGTGAAGAAAATTTAACAGGATCCAATGAAATATGAAATTTGGATTGTACTAAAAAAAAAAAAAATCCCAGCAAGTGAATTTGCTTTGCACAGAGATATGTGGTTTCTTATTTTGGAAAATGATACTCAGACTCAGAAATGGAAATCTAGTCGCTAAGACTGATTCATCAAAGAGACTTCTTTTCTACTCACTGGTTTTTGTTTTCTAAATTACCTTCAAAAGATGAGATAGGAATATCATCAGAGATTTTTCAGGGCAGCCTGAAAAAGAAATGATCATGTTTCGAGTCACTTTTGCAGGCTTTTGCTAGATAAGTATAAACCATGCTGGATTTGCTCAGCACCTGCAGCGCAGGTCACTGACAGACTGACGTCCAGTGGCAGCTCTGTGTTTTTCTGGTTATAGCCTTTATTGTGATTTGGAACAGGGTAGCGTTCCTATAGGATCTGACTGCATCATGACAAAATTAAAAATGTCAAAGGGACAAAAAAAATGTAAGAAAGTGTCTTGGGAGTATCTACCTTTTGTGTTCAAAGAGATTAACGAAACATCCTGTTAAGACATCTTTTATTGGAGTGTTTTCTGGTCTAAAGGCCACAGCTGGTTCGTTTATACCTTTAAGGAGTTAACAACATGCTTTTGAAAATCTGCACTTTCCTTTTATTAACTTTAAAGAGCAAAATAAGCTTCATCCCACTAAAGCTGTATCTGCATGGCACTGATATAAAATCAAAAAGAGAAAAATTCAGGCAAATTGTTAGAGGATTTTTTGGAAAGGGTTTTTACAGATTACCGAATAATCACCCTAACTGATTTTCTATCACTGAAATGGCCAGTCATGATTCAATTGATAAAACTCTGCCTGTCTTGATGTCTTGTGTATAGACCTAATTTTGCAGAAATCTGTGCATTAAAACCAAGGGCCACAAGCCTGCTCAGTTTTCTAAATATGACTTTATATATCACTTAGGCAGACCACTTTTGTATGTGGTTATGAAAAATAATCGTCTTCAGACTAAACGTAGGACAGGTACAGATTTTACTAAATAATAGCACATGTACAGGAAGGAAGGAAACAGACTTGCAGTAATGATTGTAATCAGGAAAGGTTCCATACAATATAGCAGCTGTTATTTCATGTTTCTTCATCCACTGATTTCAGAATCAGAGTCACCGAATGTAAAAGTAAATACATATTTGGGGAATATGTATTGTGCCCTAAAATTTTAAGCTACACACAATGTTTGCATTGCAAGATGTTTCTTCTTTAAGCCTTTAGGAGTTAAGATCTGATCAGAATTCAGTAGAGAGTATTTTCAATAAAGACTGAGGCAGAACACGTTGTTGCATGCTGTTGAGGTTTACACCTCGACCATGTTGGAATTGTCACTAACACTTGTCAGCAGAGTACAGAAAACCTATGTGTGGGACGTCACAGTGCTGCTTTTATCGCATCATTTAAAAACCTACAATCATGGACAGCTTTTCCATTTTCCACATGCCTCCTGCCCCCCTTCAGTTTGATAAACTACACTGACAGCTAAGAAAGAGTTTAAAAGCAAGTCCTTTAAAAACGAAGTTAAAGGACACTGTGCCTGCCAAGCACAGAAAGCGTGCGTGCGCTCCCCAAATTGGATGGGCTCTCAAACTGGACAGAAGCACATGGAGCAGTTGGATACACTTTCAAAAGGTTCCAAAAACCCAGCTGTGTTCGGATCTTACTTTTCTTGAGGAAAGCATAGCCACAGAATGCACTGCTTTTGTTATAAGTCTTTGCAGTAAATTCCTGTTCTCCAGAAAGCTTCCTCCTTCTAACCTCTGGCAAGATGAATTCTTTATGTCTTCTTGTTATTGTTTGCACATCCACCGCATAGCCCAGTTTGAAATATTTATTTGGTTCTCAGCTCTCCATGGAGGTTGGGCATATTCCTGTACCTTCTGACCTCTGTGGACCACACGGGAACTTGTAAGCACAATTTCCGTCAGCACCTTGTGTCCATACGGATGCCATCAGACCAGCTCCGCTTTTGCCATGAGGTCCATTGCTTAAAGATGAGGAGGATGTGGTTTTGTCAGTCTTACCACAGCCTTTCTTTCCTGATCCTCTCTGTGCTGAGCTTTATAACACTCTGGGAATTAGGAAGATGTTTCCTTTTAAAAGAGAATAGAAATTTAAGAGGTTTCACCTTGTTTTCAGGTTTATTCAGCTCCAGTAGAATGTTTTTAATGAAAAGTTAAGGAAAATGGGTGTGATCTTTAATGCCACATCCCTATATATGGGTAGATGTAGTTTATACCAAAATTATAATACATATACGTAAAATGGGTGCCTTTTTGATTACCTTTGTTTATCCATTATGGTCTTGGGAAAAAAACCAAGCAAGCAAGTTTCTGCCTATTCTATAGTAATATTTTATTATAAATGATTGGTATTTTTGTGGTGGGGAAGAGGGATGCTCCTGACAGATATTATAGGTGATAGCTGATTGTATTTTCCCATTAAAGGTTTAGAACTTTAGAAAAGGCTGACTTCTTCCATCTGTTTCTGAAAAGTTCTTTGCGGATTTATATATAGTTGAGATGTATAAACATTAAACCTTAAGTTTGGGATATAAGGTATGTATTGTTTGATAGAATAATTATGTTACAAGGCTGAATTCACTATGTAAGATGAGCTTCACTTTACGAGTTAATTTCACCTTAGCTCTTTGCTTCTGATAATCTGAAAGTAGCTAGATAGTAGATGTGGGAAACCTGGCATGAAGATGCTAAAGCTTTAGTTAAGTGAGAAGCTATGTAAACTAAGTTAAGGTTGCTAAAATGCAAGTCTCTTTCTCAAGTATTGTATGACTGTTAGGACCCTTTCTAGACAACTAGGTATCAATTATTGATGATCCAAAAAAGTCAGGACAAAGTCAAGACATCACCATCATTGTTCCTTGATTCTTAGACTGGTGGGACCCACAGGTGGGTCTCCTCCCTTCCTGGTTGTCCACATTTCTTCATTATATTCGTGGGAACTTTATATGCTTTTTGCGTTTGTTTGATATATGGTCTCCAGTTTGCATAGTGCACACTTTGTAATCCAGTTGCTGTTCAGAATGATTTATTTGAAAGGGGAAAGAGAAAACCGCATTGCAGTTCTATTCTTTTGTGTCCATATAGTGAATTGCCTAGTGTTTTGGAAGCAGTACTGAGTCTAACAGGCATGATATGTGTGGGATTATTGGTCTTTGACCTATGGCAAAAATGCAAATTTGAACTGTTGTGTAGTTTGGCTTCTGTTTGCTTCAAAATATGTACAATCATGGTTATTAGCTTGTAAGTCTGTACTAACTTTGAGAGCATTAACAGTTTTGAAGGAAACATTAAATGTTTTTCCAATGAAGGGGCTTACAGAATGATACAATGTTATTAATATAATTTGGCTTTTGTTATGCAAATTGTTAACACCAGCTATTAAAATCTATTTTAGTAGAAATGCTTTAATTCATGTTTTTTTCCTCTACACTGTGAATCTTTAAGCCTTGGCGGACTAGAGAAAGATCGTGCTGCCCAAAGGACTAACCTATGCAAATGAGTTCACATTTTTGTGGATGTCTCAGTAAACGCATAATAAGACATCATTCCTCCTGCATCATGTCCAGCAGCATCGGATAACGCTGTAAGCCTAGTGTCCCGTGTGAATAGTGCAGTCACTCACACACTGTTCAAGATGACCATCCTCACTAGTATTAGTATTTGTTTGAAAGCAAATCACTTATCTATTGAAACTACTCAAATGATGTCAGGATGGGACCAACAGATGGACGTGTGGGCTGTGGCTTTCCTGTGGTCCATGCAGATGTTCTCCTGATAGAACTGTCTTCTACATGCACTCCCTTCAGGACCTTCTTTTCTGTATTTGTGAAACATGATAACGTGCTCACTTCCTATCTATCTCTACACATTTGGTTTGCTTCAATAAATGCAGGATACAACAACGTGGTTCTACTTCTTGGCTCTCACTATGGTTTCTTGGAACGCGGGTCCTTAGGCACAAGAACTGCAGCATGATGGTACCGGGGTGAGGTCTGTTGTGACCGCTCAGATGATGCCCATGGAGGCTGCGGGCTGGCTGTGGAGTGTTTGTGTTGGCGAGTCACACAGTAAATTTTCCTCCCCAGGATTAACTTAGTTCCAGGTAATGTCAATCTGATGCTTTCTCAGTCTCAGATTCGTCCTGATTTCATGTCAAACTGCAATAATGCATTGTTGGAGTGAACTTCTTAGGTGAAATTCCTCATGTGCCCTGACTAGTGTCATTCCAATTGTGTGTGTGTGTGTGTATTTGTCAGATGACAAGAACAGCTTGGAGCAAAAAATTTAAAAATGTACAGATTGAGAACATGAAAAGAAATGATACTCAGGATTCTCAGCTGAGAATTGCTTATTTATCAGAGAACATTTTCCCCTAATTAAAAAATGAGTTAGTCCCTGTTTTTACCCTAATATAAATTTCAGTGGAGTGGATCTTAGCCTTATTGTGTTATTTTATAAAGTTCCTCTTTGGTGCATAAGCCTTTCAAATTGTAATCTGATCATCTTTGCAGATGACACTGACTCATAAACACCGATTCATAAATTGAATTTTTTGTTTTCCATAAGTACAAATGAATCTCTTTAGGATGTCATTAAACAATACAGTTACTTGTTTATTTCAAGAATTTGTCTTTTCTCATGCCAGGAAAAAAGTTTCATGATTATAAATTTATTCATTGGAACCTGGGCCACAGAGAAAATGATTAATTTGGGAAGATTTTTTTTTTCTGACCTAAAATAATAAGAGTTTGGAAAACACTATAATTTTATTTTCCTGACTTAAAATTCTGTAGGGTTAGTTTTATAGGTGGTCTTATCATGAGTAGCCACCAGAAGAATCCTACCAGAACAACTCTCTGTGAAAATGCTCCGACAATAAATTGAAAAGTAGATAAAAGGAAAGTTTTGTCCTTTATGTATTCTGCTTCTCCTTCACAGAGGGATTGAATAAGAGTTTTGTGATGGCAGAAAACTGGATGTGGTCCAAGGGTGAACTTCAAATTTTTTCTGTAATTTGAAGCAAAATTCTCAGGCTTCTGTCTATTATACTTCTGTTTGAGAGCAGTAGAGTTTTGATGAAAAGTAGAATGGATTTAAAGGTTGCAGAGTCAGTATTAGAACAAAGGACCTAGGCACCTCGTTGCTGATTTTGTGTTTATACCGTGGCATTTTGATCTTTGCAGCTTTTGCCTTTTTTTTTTTTTGAGAAGCAAACATGAAAGAGAATAGTAGGTGGTAATGGAGAAACAAGCAAGATCTGAATTCCTGTTATTCTACTTGAGAAAATAGGGAACGGTTCTGCTTCCCAGGTTTAGTTATCAGATAGATCTTTAATGAACGAGTGTCTGATTCCTGACCCAGGATAGCCACGCTTCTTACTTTTTTTTTTAATGCCCGAGGCCGTGAGGCCCAACTTAAGGTTTCTGTATGTTGATAACAATGTTGTGTCCTACACGACATCATTTCTCTGGTCACAGCTGACTAGAGGTGACCCAAGAGGACCTCTGCTCAATTCTGCTCAACGGGATGAAGGTGACTGAACCCTATCCAGATTTCCTTGAAAGGGCCTAGGTTCAATATACAGATCAATTGGTTCACTGGTTATATTGTGAAAAGCTAAAGGACACGAGGAGAGGAGAGGAAGGAGTTGAAGTAAAGGCAGTGAATAAGAGAAGTGTAAAGCAAAGCTGTGAACTGGGAGATGTTTAGACCCAGGCAAAAGCACAGTAGGAGGTGGGTGGAGGCAGGAGCCATAGAGCGATGGGAAGAAACGAGTGTTTGTTAATTAATAATGGCGTCTTTTTAGGAACACCGGCTGCTGCTCCATCCCAGTCCTGGGAATCCCACCCACCGGGGAAGTCACTTTTTGGGGTCCCCATGTGCTGGTAGGGCTTCCCACGGCTCTTCCCATCTTTGCCCATAAACCTTTATTCCTTGAGACGTGTCCGAGGGTCTCTACATGTCTAGTGATTGCTGCAGCTTGACTGAAAGAGTCCATTTATGTCCATCGTCACAACCCGTAGGTTTCTTGTTCTCCTACCTGACAGACGAAGGAACAGGATAATCCATCTCGACAAGGAACAGATTTCATGAATGATTTTCACAATTTCCTCCCAAATGAGACACCAGATAACAGATGTGACTAAAATACCCGTTGCGTTATCAGAGTCATGGTGTCATATAGGTGGGTGTTAAATTTTATTGTTGTCAGGTTGTTTTGATTTGTTATATATTATATATTCTATTGAAAATCACTTTAGGTAGTAGCTAGAATGTACTTCCTTGGACCCTGTGAAAAGCAGTAATAATATTAGACCAGTTTAACTTTTGCCAGTCGGTCCATGCAGAGAAAGGACTTAGGAATTTCTAGAAGTTTGACAAGAGGGGAGTGGCTAGGGCCACCTTTGTGAGTGTCATAGACCTTAGTACTACAGCATGAAAGCTGAATTATTTCCAGAGATTTTTTTTGTTTTTGAGGCAGGGTCTCACTATTTGGTTTTTTTTGGAGGGGGTACCTGAGATCAAACTCAGGTCCTTGTGCTTGTGAGGCAGGCGGTGGAACCACTGAGCTAAATCC